AGTGAATTAGTTTGATATTCTCTCCCAGTGACCTGATTGTTCATATTTCATTGCTGAAGCACATACACTATGTTAAAATGCATTAGGATTTTTTGATTGATGACCTTAACGTCGATTCTTCTTTGCAAAGTACATTAACCTTCATAAGACTGACTGAGGGTGTAAGGGATACTTAGTCGATATAGCGTCGGACTGATAGCCGAGAGGTCCTGGGTTCGAGCTTCGGTCGGGTCACTCACCTTTATTCCTTCCGAGTTTGATAAACACGTACTACACTGTGGGAAGGTAACAGACTAAACGTAGCAATTGCCACATGGCTGTCGACTCTGCCTGTAAAATATGACACTCATATTTTGATGATATGAAAACTGAGATCAGCTCCACACCATTAACTTCATAAAGAGAAGAATCCCAGAAAATCCCCATCACTGAACTGCTAAGAAGACCGACATTCCAACGGTTACAGACTTTACTTCTGTCGTTCCTAAGTGGAAAGCATTGATGCAATGCAAGTCATGTTTAGCATTTTTCAGTACTGCTAAATATTATTCAAATGATCTTCTCTGACTACGCTTCATTTTTTCAATCAAGGCTAGTTTAGAGTCGTCGCCTTCTATCTTATTATAATTGAAGTAATTATTAAAGCAGAACTGAGGTTCATTAATCATACGTATTCCTGTATTTCAGTCCAGTCCTTGTGAATCATAGACGGGTCTAATATTCATACTGATTCCTGTTTTCAGATGCCTTTTGAGGATTGTCATCACTGTTAAATCTGAAAGTTCCACTTCTTAAGTTTCTGTATGTTTTGTAGACGTTACAAATAGTACTAGGTATATTTGGTATGCATAGACTTCTTAGGCATTTGAACCAAGGCCGTACAGGAAGTTTAGCTTTAACTGTTGTTTGCTTAAGTTCTGAACCCAGTGCAATGATCGTCTGTATCATAGTGTGGTAGTCCTGATGGTACAGTAAGTGCATGTGGTTGTTTTGTAGCGTTCGTTTCTCTGGAAGCTTTCGTTAGAAAACAGTAGCGAGTACTTTGTACTGTAATTATCTCCAGATAGTCCAAATTTTAGCTAGCCATTGCAAGTTTATCGAATCACATTTCTTTCGTGATAACGCGAACCTTCGAAGGGAGAATTAGTGCTTTCGAGCACAAATTTAAATCCTACATTCAGATTTTCTAATTTATAAGAAGACTTTTAAATTGGCCCATGCCGTTCTTTCACACTTGCTTAGATTTGTTCGGTATCGCAGAGCGCTTTTCGCCA